TTGGACGGTAAGAAATCGCTAAGGGGTTCTAACTAGGGCCGCAACGGCCGAACAAGAAAAGATTGGTGCCTAAGGCAGCTCGCGAGTGCCGATAGGCTCGAGCATACAGCGGGCCTTGCCCGCTACAGCTCTAGCCAGCTTCTTAACTTAATTACTACACAGTAGTAGCTTCTTAATTTAACCTAGAACCTCAGGGAAGGGAGTATATCCCTTAAAATAATAATTTTTAATATCTCTTATAAACTGGGCTCATAACTATCAGATTGCAGGTAATCTAGTAATATGATTATACTAGTAATCTGAGCATGCTAGGTCAAACTAGGTCATCTTCTTACTGTGTCCAAGAATGTATGTCATAATCTATGTAAGGAGCGACATAACCAGAAGATATGTGCATTCTGGTCAGGTGAATCTAACTAAAATAGGCAATATAAGCAAGCGTAAAATATACAGTCTAATACCAAAGATACAGTGCTTCAACATATATTAAGCTTTGTATTGCTGATATGGCCGGACGGGCTTTGCTTACGTTTGGGTGCCAATTTTGTACGCTTTAACTGCTTACATGCGGGATGATTACTTCAACCATTTGATTATTCCTATGACGATCGCAGCTCGCTACATTTCTCTATGAATGGGGGATGCAGAAGACAAGAATCATGAGTAGTTCGTATTGCAGATGAGGATTTTCAAAAGCTAGGTTCCTCGTTTGAAGTCCACCATGTCTCCAGCTACGAGCCGTCGAACAGTTAAATGCGAAACAATTGACGGGATTTCACTAGAAGCATGGCTCTGGGAGGTTGAAGGCCCCGCGCCCGTAATTGTCATGACTCACGGCGTAGGTTCTCGCGGAGGAAGATGACACGTTGCACAGCAAGACTGATAACTGAGTATTCTCGCAGCTCAATTGCGTCAAAGAATGGAGTCTTGAGGAGACAGCCGAGACCTTCCAGAAAGCAGGCTACAACGTCCTTCTGTACGATCCAAGAGGCATTGGAGGCAGTGAGGGTGTCCCCAGAAACCAGCCTGATCCGTGGCAGTACTCTGAGGACATTTCAGGTATGTCTCCTGCCCTTGTTTGACTGGCAGTTGGGCTAACGACGCTCGCCATTGCAAGATGTCGTCACCTACGCAAGCACACTACCGACTGTTGACTCCCAGCGGATTCTACTCTGGGGTATCTCCTTCGGTGCCAGTGTGACCGCATGCGCTGGCGCCGTTGATCCTCGCGTGGTAGCCGTTCTGATGGTCGCGCCCATTTTCAAGTTCATTCGGCCGGACAAGCGGAGGAAGCTGTTTACACAGCTGATGAAGGACCGTCAATCGCAGATCAGAGGCAATGAGCCTTTCTACCTGCGTCCTTACGACAGTAACGGGGAAAACCCAGCGGGCTACGGTGGCTCCGGTGGGCCATGCGCCAAGGAAGCGTACACGTTGATGGAACTCGGTGTCGAGCGCTATGGATACCGCAACCGCATCACGCTTCAGACATTCCACAAACTGGCGCTGTTCCGTCCCCAAGACTTCCTGCAGGAGATGTTAAACGACAAGCCAATCATGATGGTTGTGCCGGAGAATGATACAATGTCATTGCCAGCGGATCAGCTGGCAGCGTTTGAGAGTTTCAAGTGTCCAAAACAACTTCACATGGCCAAGAACAAAGGTCATATGGATATCTTGTCAGGAGAGGAGTTCACGCAGAACATGTCTGCGATGATAAAGTTCTTCAATTCAGTTTCACGCGAAGAAGATCTTGCATAACAGCTATAGATAGTCTGTCTACTATAATGTTTTGTATCGCTACATATATCTCGTTGGTGTGAGCATAGATATGGCCAAGAACTTTGTTGCTGTTGCTGTTGTTATTGTAGGTCCTAGCCTCCTCCGATAATTGAATTGTAGGAAAGTAGTACAGCTATGAGATGCTATTATTGACAAGGTATACTCTCATTAATAACATACATTATGCTCCCATAATACTGTCATAGCCATGGGAGCGTGGTGGATGCGTTCCACGCCCGTCTGTTATCTGGTTCATGCCCATGCTGCAGCTACGTAATAATCACCCTATTAGATCACTGCGATACGTTAGTCAATCTATCAAATCGTCCAAGCCAGCCAACTATGTCTCCTGCCCATGTACGCACGGCGCTCTCGTTAGCTCTGGTGTCTATATTCCCAAGTACTGTGGCGAACGCTTCGCTTGGTATGCACGCAAAGCCTCGGCGCGGTCGCTGGTTCCCAAGACAGAGGTATAAGCAGCGTTTTCAGCTTCTTCATTGGCCATAGCCAGAGCGCTCAAGGCAGCGCGGACGGCGATAGGGCCTCCGGCACAGATATCATGGGCCAACGACAACGCATTGGCTAGAGTTAGCCTTCTGACAGCGCCCAAATCCGCACAGTCCTGTTCGCCAGAAAACACAAGCCGGTTGCATAAGCCCATTTGCGCTGCTTCCACGGCCTTGACACGGCGACCGGTAAGGATCATGTCAAGAGCGTGTGACTGGCCGACAACTCGCGGTAGTCGATGCGTCCCGCCAGCGCCAGGGATAATGGCAAGTTTAGTCTCTGGCAAGCCAACGACGGCATTGCCGGAAAACACCCGGAGATGGCAGCAAAGGGCAAGTTCCAAACCGCCGCCGAGCGCCACGCCGGATACACAAGCAATCGATGGGATGGACAGCGATGCCAGCTTGGAGAAGACGCGGCGGAGCTCCGTTAAGAAGTGCCTAGTCTCGTCGCGGCTCATGTTGCTCCGCTCTTTGAGATCCGCTCCAGCGCAGAAGACATTGTCGTCTGTGCTGGCGATGATGACGGCTCTCACTTGGCTCTGACTTGCTTTGACGTAGACACAATCGAGCTCCCGGTCCAACTCTCGCAGCAGCTGCCTTGAGATGGCGTTACTTGCCCTAGGACGGTTCATTTCAATGATGGCAATCTGTCCATCATGTGGTGCTTCGACGCTGCTATACAGGATCGTGGGACAAGGCTGAATTGACTCTGGTTCCGTTGCTACCATTGCTGTTGTTGCTGCCGCCTTGTTTGTCAGAGCCGGACGACAGCTATTCTTGATAATCGATCCATTGGTGCCGTTGGGCATGCGTTGAGATTGAGAATGTGCGTTGGTGCCATCCGAAAGCTCTGGGAGACACAGGGCCGTACCACCGACAACCTTCAAAAAACTGTTTTGCTTACCTGTATAACGAGTCCATAAATCATCAGTTTCGAGATATCTCAGAGTATCGGCTGACTCTGTAATCATGAATTCACAAGAGCCATCTGAACACATTGGCATCACAATCACTGATCCTATTATCGTGCCTCGTGCCGGATGCCGAAAAGCCTTGACACGGCCGTCCCCAAAAGCCGGACCAAAATCCATTTCGTGGATATTGAACTTGAAATGGCTGGTGTATACGATAGCAGACGAGGCCAAATCTTCCTGGAAGCTCAGGCGGGTGTGGCTCTCCAGTCTGATTCTCTCCATAAAGGCAACCAGATCTCGAATCCTGTCAGCCGTCACGGCTTTCACGTCCGCACGCAGAATGCGGGCAGCGGTACGGAGGCCGGTCTGCGGATCCCGGAGCGCATCAAATGGCATATCGCTCCGCATGATGTAAAATGCGTTCCCAAAGTACGGCTCCGGTAGTTCAAGTAGCTTACGGCAGTCGACAGGCTGGCCAAATGTGGCGACAGCGTCAGCGGAGAGGGCTCCCGCACGATGCCGGGCAACCAAAATACTTCGCCAGATCAGCGCAGCAATTGCATCGCCGGTGGAGATCCAATCCTCGGTGTCACGGGGGAATGCAGGAGAAGCAGCCTTCTTCAGGTCTACCAGAGCGTCGCGACTGATGCGAAAGGTTCTACAGGCATGTTCGACCCCTATGATATTGCCGTGAGCGAATGCAGACGTCGTGAAAGCGGGATGGTTCTCTATGGCACCGATTCTGCCCTCGCCTGAGACCAAGGCAGTCCGATCCGAGACCCATTTCTCTTTGGTCGTTTGCAAAGGGTGTCCGATTTCGCCTGCATGGGCTTTGCGAAGGTGATCTGCGAAGATCTTGACGCACTCGGTCACTCCGGTGCCGTCAATAACTGTGTGAAGAATCTGGATTACGAGGATGACGCCGCCTTGAATGAAGTTGACACGGAAACGGCAGACATCGACAGGTTCTTGCTGGATGTAGATGACTTTTGGTAAAGAACAGAGCTGGTCGGCATCAAACAGATCCTGAGAAAAATTTGCCTTGGCGAGGTCGGCGTAGGAGATCTGATTGCAGAGGTCTTTCACATCGAGATAGGCGTGTCCATTTGGTGATATATTCCGCAGCCAAGGACGATCGCCTTCTTCTTCCGAGTTGGGTACCACAGATCCTGCGAGAAAGGGCACCCGCTGTACAGTATGGTGCAGCGCAATATGCAGTTGGTCCACAATCTGCTCTTTGTTTACGTTTGCTGGAAGAGCGAAACATAGCATTCGTTTTGAGTGTGTTGGCGGGTAAGTCCGATCCCAATACGACAGTTTGAGGTCGAAAGGAGGACCCGAGATGGCAATGGACTTGTCCATTGTTGTTGTTGTTGTTGTTGTTATACAGAACTGAAGGCTCGGTCTCAGTAGTATTATAGATGTGTGAGTTAAAAGAGCCGGCGATGCGGAGCGTGTCTTACTGCTGATGAGCTTCCACCAGGATAATGACTACTTGCAGGTAGGTAGCTGGCGAGAAGGAAGTTTAATCTATGTTATTACCAGGATTATCATCTAAGCCGTACTGGCAATCGTCACCACGGTTCGCAAATGATTATGCCTTACGATGACAGAAGACCAGTTGCATAATCAACTTTTAGCCTTGATTTGGGACGTAATCGTGCATGTACTCGTAAGCTGAACTAACTGTAAGTTCAGCTTTTGTTGATTACTTTCTGCCGCCAGCGCATTATCGACATTCTCCAGGCTCTGCACACGACAGCCATACGACAACGAGGTCTACATTGGGCTTCTCGATCAAGATCTACGACAGGCCCCCATCAAAGCATTGCTACGGAGTGTTCGCCAGACTGGTATGAACTGCGCCATGGAGAGCCAACCCCTTCTATTATCGGAATCACGGGATATCGCACGCTCAGAGGGCATCGTCCAGGACGACGAGGACTTCCGTACAAGTCAGAGCCACGAAGTCCCTCGAGATGGAGATGAAGATGAAGATGACGACAGATCAAGAGAAGATGCTGTCACAAATGCCAAAGTCGCATTGGTCTTCGCTGCCCTGACCTCAACCTCCTTTTTAGTTATGCTCGACATGTCCATTCTTCCAACTGTAGGTAAAGAGCTACTCAACGTACCTGGTTCTGAACTGACCGAAGAACGAGCTAGGCCATCCCGCAAATCACAACCGAGTTCCATTCCTTAGGAGATATCGGTTGGTTCGGTAGTGCATACCTGTTGGCAAGGTAAGTTTGTTTCTACTAGGGGGGCCAAGTTAGACATCTAAGAAAAGTCGCAGTTCTACCATGCAACCATTGACGGGGAAACTATACCTGGGCTTTGGCCTGAAGGCAAGTCAACAACTTCGATTGGCTTATATCATGTCCTAATGCATAGTATAGTATACCTTTCTCACTTTTCTCGGAGTGTTCGAGTTGGGTTCACTGCTCTGTGGTATAGCACCAAGCTCCAACTTGTTCATTCTTGCACGAGCCGCCGCGGGTCTAGGGGCGTCTGGTTTACTGAATGGGGCACTCAGCATCATCGCCGCTATTGCTCCAATGCATAAACGTCCAGGTAAGGCAGGTCCAAGCGTATTATTGAAAATAGTGATGAAGCTAAGCAATCGAATCTAGCGCTCATTGGCTTTATGATGTTAAGTATGTCTGTCTCCAACAATATAGGCTTCCAGAACTCACAAGTCACTGCACCAGTTGGCCAACTCGGAATGGTCGGTGGGCCAGTCCTCGGTGGTTTTCTCACGCAATATGCGGGCTGGCGATGGTGTAAGTCGGCGTATCGCTACTTCTTACGGAGTACTCAGCAAAGTTTGACACGACCTCTAGGCTTCTACATCAATCTGCCAATTGGCGCCGTCTCATCCATCATTCTTTCCAGTCTTTGCATCCCAGATGGCTTTATGCGATCCACAGCAAAGTCAAAATTGGCCCTTTTCTTTAGCCTTGACCCAATTGGATTCGTCCTATTCACTGCGTTCACAGTTACGTTCTTCATAACCCTTCAGTGGGGTGGAAGCATCTATGAGTGGATGAGCCCTGTCATCATTGGCCTGCTATGTGCTTCACTCGTCTTGTTTTCGTTGTTTGCCGTGTGGGAAAGATTCGTAGTCGGTGAGAATGCCATGTTCCCATACTCTATGCTGCGCAAGCGGGTTGTCTGGGCATCATGCTTGACCATATTTCTTTTACAGGGCTGTGCGCTCATCTACTTGTACTACCTACCGATGTACTTTCAAGCTGTTAAAGGCGCATCTCCACTTTCAAGCGGTCTTTACAACTCTCCAGGTATCGGGAGTCAGATGCTCTTGGCTGCAGTATCTGGTGTCTTGGGTAAGTTCTTCTCAAAACTCGAAAGCTAAACCGCCTGCTGCTATTGCTGAAATTTATATAGTTGGGAGGATGGGATACTATCTTCCGTGGGTCCTTGCAAGCGGAATTCTCTGTCTTCTTGGGTCAGGCTTGATATCGACCTTGACACCTGAGACCAGCCCTGTCGCCTGGATCAGCTACCAGATTATTGCTGGAATTGGGCGAGGGTG